GATTTCAAACATGGGCTTGCTAGCTTTCAACCCAGCATCCTAACCATATGACCTACCCCATCCTGGTGGAGCAGAGTACCCAAGATAGAGAAAGAAGAAGTTGTGTCTCCACCATCTTAAAGTGGTCACTATGAGCTAAAACAATCCCGCACCCAAAGGATCATTAGACTGTACAACCAACAGAATGATAATTGAAACAGGTCAGATTATATCCGTGCCTGAGATTTGTTGTGAAAAAGAGAACACCACTTTAAGATTGGCACAACTAAGGAAGGCTTAGTTACGGCGGCCTCAAACGTTGGCTGCTGATGAGGCAAACACAACATCATGGAGAGACAGCAGAAAGAGAGCCTGTTGGGACAGGTCCATATCACTTTAGAAGGTGCCTTCCAGATGAAGGTGGGAACCTGGTTTCAGATGAAGCCTGGCACATTCCAAAAGCATAACTCCAGAGTATGAATTATTCCTGATCTACCTTTGCGAAGAAAATTTCCTTTGCTGAAATCTAGTATATCGGGAGACATAAATGTGTAGTTTGCTCTAGAATCCGCTTTCATGTTATCAAATGTAGCTTTATCCACCACATCATCCACCTCCTTTTCAGTTAGTTTTTTCCCTAGGAAGTTGCATATTTTCAGTACAGAACTTTTCAGATCCTGCAATTTGATAAAGCTTTATATTAGTTCATCCATAACAATGGAGAAAAGATGGAAAATATTATTGATATATTTCAGGAATTCTCAAGATTATTTCTTTGTAATACATATCTTGCATATTAAACTTTAATTCTTTTCCTACTGAAAAATTACCTTGAGATAAAAAAAATTTTAAAATGAAAACTGTACATAGAAGCAATATCAATGAATTAAATAAATAAATGCTGCTTCAGGACTTCTTGTAAAAGTTTCCATGAGGCAAATTGCTGAGAAACATTTTTAGTTTATAATATATTTATGTGCCACAGAGTCATATTCCTAGCAATCTTGGCTGCATCAGAGGCTGGCCAGTTCCCAAGCCAGGCTAAAAAATATACTTTCCCAAGATTGCCTCTACGGTGATCTCTGCTACTCCCTATTGGAATAAGTTATTTACATATCCCATCATTTCTAAAGTTTTCTGTGCTTGATGGTTGTACATATTGCACTACACAACACAACATATCTTACCTTTTTCATTTCTTCATAAGACAGAAAGAGTATATTGAAATCACTCTTATGAGAGTACCAGCCTTCTACGTGGTCTAGCCACGAATTACAAAACACTGATAGAAGAGAAATGAGTTTAGCATGAACGTGAGGATTAATGCATGAATTTCCTCCACTTAACTTTATGATTCTGGTTGGACTAAAGATCAAAGCATGATAGCTCACCTGGTGGTTACCCAAATATCTATATGGTCTAGCCACAAACTACAATGGGTTTAGCATAAAAATGAGAGCAGTCTTATCTACATGGTCTTTACAGCCCTCTCCAAGCAGTTTACAGCCTATTTCCCCCAACAATCTGTGTTCTCATATTACCAATCTCAGAAAGGTGGAAGGCTTGAGCCTGGTGAGATTTGAACTGCCAAATTGCAGGCAGCCATCAGTCAACAGAAGTGGCCTGCAGTACTGCATTCTAATCACTGCGCCACCACGGCACTTTCTACATTGTTAATGCTTGAGTTTTCTCCATTATGATCCTGATGAGTTTCCTCCATTATGGGCCTGGTGGGCCTAAAGTTCAAAGCATGAAAACACAACTGAGGAGCTGGCCTAACATCACTGAATGTGTAGAGAAGGAATGAGCATAGCAACTAATGTGGTTGTATACTCCAACTTGTTAAGAGGGGTGGGCGGGTTCTCAAGATGCTGCTATATAACTTCATTTCTTTGCTTTATCTTATTTGGGACTTTGGGGGAATCTGATTTAATTTTTTTATACTTCTTTAAATATCAGACTGACTCTGGTTAGCTCTTTCCTCTTTCCAACCTTTAAAACACTTCCCTTGTGATTTCATTTGAGTATTTGGTTCATTAACTAATATTGATTTTTTAAAAATATTTGATTCTAGCCATCCACTCCAACTCATTCACATCCCGATTTTGAATTGCTAAACAATTTCTCTCCATTTTCTCCTCCATATTAAATATATCTTAGTATTTCTCATCTCCCTCCCTTAATAAGCTGCCTTCTCTTTCCTCCCACTCACTTTTACATCATAGTTGTCCTAGGAGGCCTGCATTCCTTTCCACCCATCCATATATAATATTTGTGTAGACTTTGAACACATTACTGCACGAGTATAGAGACTCATTATTCGTTTCTTATGTTAGGGGAGAAGGTGGATTGTTTGCTCTTTGTGGGAAGCGGATCGAAATATATTCATAATCTCTTATCCATAATTGTCATGATCAAATTCTTCTTACCTTTGCCAGCCAAAAACCTCTCCAAGAATGTATCAAAGTCTTTTGGAGTCTTTATTTTGACTGACATTATGTGAAAATGGTAACTAGAAACTAAGACATCCTTTGGATTTCTAAGCACATAAATAATCTGTAAGAGAAACACCTAGTCAAAAAAACCTAAAGCATACAGAGAGGGCACCAAGTTACTCTCACACCTTCATCTAATGGGCTCTATTATATCATGGGATCTCAAAGCTCATTAGCAAAACCATGTTTGAGAACCTTCCAGCAGACCAAGAGGATTGGGGCCAACCTCTGGTTGGGAGAATGATTTTCCATCTGGCAGAGACCACAGAAGAAAAGGCTTTCCTCCTAAGTCCTGCCTGACAAATCTCCCTAGCTGATGGGACCCCAACATGACTTTGCTGAGGGACTTGATGTGATGCATGGTTGCAACTGGGGAGGAGAGGTCCTTCAAATAACATGCTCTCTATTTATGAAGGGGTTTAAAGGCCAAAACCAGCACCATGAATTGGATCTAGAACAGTGGTGATATTCAGCAGGTTCTGACAAGTTCTGGAGAACCGGTAGCGGAAATTTTGAGTAGTCAGAAGAACCGGCAAACACCACCTCTGACTGGAGATTTTACAGTATCCTTCCTCTGCCATGCCTGTTAGATCTGGGAGGATGGTTCAGGAATGGAGGCAAGACTCAGATAGCAACAACAGCTCTTTATTAGTGACTTCAGATCTGAGCAACTAATCCCAACCGCAGCAGCCCCTTATATAGGGTTGGCTGCGGCTAGGCAGCCAATGAAGGCGATTTGAGTTTGCTGCTCTTGGCAGAGCCAATCGCGGCAGCCCGTTTACTGGCCAATCGCATCAGTCTATGGCGACCAATCACGATCGGCTATCAGCGGGCCAATCAGATTTTCAGGCTTCAAGCCTGCTAATCCGGAACACCCCTCCCCTCTCGGTTCCGTTTAAGGGGTGGAGTAATATAGTCTCACAGGTAGGCAGGTCTTTGCACCTGTCTACCTGACTTATGCAATTCCAATTGTCCCTGTTCAAATCCGGGTTCAGATGGACTGCTTGCTGGATCAAACAGGAACGGTGAACCGGTGCCATGGTCAGGGCTCTCCTCTGGTGCCCCCGGGGTGATAGGGTCCTCAGCTTCATTGTTACTGCCATGGCTCCCCGGGCTCGCTGAACCTGCCTGGCTGCTGCTACTTGGCGAAGCGTTCGTCTGTCCAGGCTCAGCTGCAGCTGGTGAGTGTTGCAAACTATGGTGCGGTGATCTCGGTGTTAGTTCAGGATAAACAGGTGTTGGTTCTAATTCTGAGTTCACGGCTTCCCCTCCCCCCCCTGGTGTCAAAGTTAGGGTCAGGGTTGGAAGACGTGGTTAGTCTGGAGCGCAGCTAGTCAATATGGCGTTTCCATGCTCTGCCATCAGTGGTGAGTAGACGGTAGGAGCGGGGACCCGTAACTTGAGTTACTTGGGCAGGAATCCAGAGGGGATCCCCAGAAAATTTTTTTGCAAATACAAGGTCTCCTACCTTGAAGGCACGGTGCTTGCTGCTGGAACCCAGGGGCTTCTCCGGGGTGTAGGCAGGGTGCAAACGGTCTAGAGGCGATCTGAGTTTCCTGCTCATTAGGAGTTCAGCTGGGCTCTTGTTGGTCATGCTGTTTGGTGTGATGTGTGATGCTGCAGGAGCAGCATTCTAGTAACTTTGTCATGGATGTTACCTTGTTCCATTTTCTGCAGGGTTTTCTTTGTAAACTGAACTATTCATTCAGCCCTACCATTCGCTGCAGGATGAGCCGGCGATGTGAGTGTGTGTTGGATGCCCCATTCCGCTAAATACTGTTCAAAGGCTAAGGCAGTAAATTGGGGACCATTGTCAGAGACCAGGACATCTGGTAACCCGTGTGTGGCGAAGAGTCTGTTCAGTTTTTTGATGACTGCCTCAGTAGTGGTTGCTTTCATTTTATTGACCTCAAGCCAGTTAGAATACGCATCTATGGTTATTAAGAAAGTGTGGCCTCTCGTAGGTCCCGCAAAGTCAATATGAATGCGAGACCAGGGACCCCTGGGTGTTTTCCATTCTGCTGGTGGAGCTTTTGGTGGGGCTGAGTGGTTTTCCTGGCATCTGTTACAAGAGGCGACTCAGGTTTCGATTTGTTTGTCCATACCTGGCCACCAGGCGTAACTTCTTGCCAGCGCTTTCATATGCACGATGCCCGGGTGTCCATCGTGTAGCATTTGCAAGACCCTTTTTTGTAACTTAGTTGGTACAACAACTCGGTCTCCCCACAAGATGCAACCTCTTTGTGAAAAAAGTTCTGTTTGTCTGTTTTTAAATGGCTTAAATATTTCCTTAGGGTCATAATCTGTCCATCCCCTCTCCACCCAGCCAAGAACTTGTGCTGAACAAGAGTCTCTTTTGGTTTCAAAGGCGATGTCTTGGGCCGTTAGTGGAGGTGAGGGCATTGTCTCTATTTGCAGTACCGGGAGCATGGGAGCTGGTTCTTTCTGTGGCTCGGGTAGTGGTGAGCGGCTCAAGGCATCTGCGTGAGGAATAGATTTCTAATTGATAGTCGTAGGCAGCAAGAAATTCCAACCATCGCATCATTCTGGGGGAGAGAATGTGTGGAGTAGGTTTGTCGCCCGCCAGAATTCCAAGTAGTGGCTTATGATCCGTTATAATAGAAAATGGTCTCCCATAAACATATTCATGAAATCTTTTAATTGCAGAGACAATAGCAAGGGCTTCCTTATCTAAATGGCCATAGTTTTTTCTGTTTTTGATAGAGTTCTTGAAAAAAATGCAATTGGTGCCTCTGAGCCGTTTGGTAGGACGTGGCTCAGGATGGCCCCCACCCCAAATGGTGAGGCATCACAAGTGACAGTCAAAGGTAGTCTCTCGTTATACTGAATTAGTACTGCATTGGAGGTAAGGAGGTCTTTTACTTGCTGGAAGGCGTGTTCCTCCCGATATCCCCAAGTCCAGGATGCCCTTTTATTGAGTAGTCTATGAAGGGGCTCAGCAACAGTTGCCTTCTGGGGTAGGAAGATGTTATAAAAGTTAATAAGTCCCAGGAAGGCTTGGATGTCAGTTTTGTTTTTGGGTCTTGGGGCATTTTTGATAGCTGCCAATTTCTTTTCTGTGGGGTGGATTCCTTGCTTGTCAAGGAGGTAGCCAAGAAACTCCACCCTTTCTGTGCAAAGCTGCCACTTTTCCTTCTTAACCTTGAGGCCAGCATCTTTGAACCTCTGTAGGACTGTTCTGAGGCATTTCTCTAATTGGTTTTTTGTGGGTGCTGCTATTAATACATCATCAAAATAGGGCACGACCCCTTTTATACCTTGTAATAGTCTCTCCATCAGGCTTTGAAAGATGCCTGGGGCTACGCTTACACCAAACTGGAGCCTGTTGCATTTGAATGCACCACGATGTGTGACTATAGTTTGGGCTTCTGCAGTCTCAGGATCAACTGGCAGCTGTTGATACGCTTGGGCCAGATCTAATTTAGTGAATATTTTGCCACCCCCAAGTGAATGCAGGAGATGTTGAACAACTGGTACTGGGTAGGCGCTCTGCTGTAGCGCGTGATTGAGGGTGGCCTTGTAGTCACTGCAGATTCTTATGGACCCGTCAGGCTTTATGGGGGTGACAATTGGTGTCTCCCATCAGGCGTGGTCAATAGGTTCTAACATGCCTTGTGCAATTAATTTGTCCAGTTGCTCGTCAATTTTGGATTTGAGAGCAAAGGGAACTCGGCGTGGCTTTAGGCGAATGGGTGCAATTTCGGGGCAAAGATTAAATGAAATAGGGGGCCCCTTGTACTTGCCTAGGCTTTCGTTGAACACTTCTCGGAAGTCATGGATGAGAGCTGCCTCCCAGTCATCGTCTTCAGTATGATGGATGCCAGCCACTCCGATTCCTAATGACATGAACCACTGAAGGCCCAATAGACTTGGCCGGTCTCTGTCTACGATGGTGAGTGGTAGAATTGCACCATGTCCCTTGAAAGAGACCTGGACATGGCGGGTACCTGTGACTGGAATCCGGTTGCCTTGATAGTCTTTCAGTATGAGTCTGTGACTGCTGAGGTCTTGGCGTCAGATGTTGGGAATTAGCTGCTTGAGTGTTCTCCAGGATACCATGGATAGTGATGACCCAGAGTCGACTTCCATGATGCACGGTTTGTTTTCAATGGTGACCTTTACTCGGATTTTTTTAGCATCAAGTGATGAAGCGTGGCCGATGGTGATGGTTTGATGAGCCTCCTCACGTCTGGGTGTGTCTTTAAACCTTCGGGGTCTTCTGTACTGGTTCCACTGGTTGCTAGGGCAGTCCCTCTGTGTGGTGGAGTTGCCATCTTGGGCTGCTCCCTCTCCGTCTGGGGCTGGAATTTCTCTTGTTTCTGCATTTCTTCGTGATGTGCCCTCGTTTCTCGCAAAAACGACACATGGCGTCTAAGAATCTGCATTCGGATCGGGGATGGTTTCCCCCGCATCCAGCGCATTGGTAGTTGGGTTTACGACCCCACTGGTCCCGTTGCTCACGTTCCGACCGGAGCCTGTGGACTTCTTCCTCGCTGTCTGAGGATGACTCGACATCTTCATGATGGGTGGTCGATGTGTACTTGTCTGAAGGTTTCCCAGCATCATTGGTGGGTTGGCGCTTGGTTCCGCTGGTTCGATGCATTTGTGCTGCTGATTTATGAGTGGCTTCAGCTGCGGTGGCGTCTGCTATGGCATCTGCAAGCGAGATGTCTCCCTTGGCCATGATCTTGCTCTGGACGGTTGGGTCTCTGAGGCCAAGGACGATGCGGTCTCTCATGGCTTCTTCGAGGTTGGCGAAGCCACATAAACCATCCAGGTTCCTCAGGTCTGCCACAAAATCCCCAACGTTCTCACCTTCATGCTGGTCCCTCTGGTAGAACTCATGTCTGCGAATGAGAGTTGGCACGGCTGGGGTGTAATGGTTGCGCAGGATGGGAGCAAGGGTATCCCAATCCATGGTTTTAACCTCAGCTGGCTTCGCTAAGGCCTTAGCCATCTTAAAAATGGCTGGCCCACAATGGGTTAGAAAAACGGCTCGTTTCTTGCTAGGCGTGGCATCTTTGAGGTTGTTGGACTCCAGGAACATTTGAAATCTGTCCATATATGAGTCCCAGTCTTCGCTAGCTGGATCGAATGGTGCGGGTAGTATAGCGCTGCTGGGCATTGTCGCCGTCGTTGTGCTCTGTCAGCCACATGCTCCTTCAGCTAGCTCAAATCAATAGACTTTGTTGCCTCCACATCTCATCCTCGTCGCCAGTGTTAGATCTGGGAGGATGGTTCAAGAACGGAGGCAAGACTCAGATAGCAACAACAGCTCTTTATTAGTGACTTCAGATCTGAGCAACTAATCCCAGCCGCAGCAGCCACTTATATAGGGCTGGCTGCGGCTAGGCAGCCAATGAAGGTGATTTGAGTTTGCCGCTCTTGGCAGGGCCAATCGCGGCAGCCCGTTTACTGGCCAATCGCATCAGTCTATGGCAACCAATCACGATCGGCTATCAGCGGGCCAATCAGGTTTTCAGGCTTCGAGCCTGCTAGTCCGGAACAATGCCCACCAAGCCACACCCACAGAACTGATAGTAAAAAAAAATGAATCCCACCACTGATCTAGAAGCAAACTAGTAGTCAATGCAGTTTCCAAAGCAGAGGTGTAATGTATGCTGTTCTAGAGAAACACAAATTCCCATTGCTGCTGCGTTTTGCACCAGTGAAGCTTCCAGTGACTAGGGCATGAGTAAGTGAGAGTAGAAATCGTGGGAAGGGATTTTGAGGGCTAAAGATAGCATCCCTCAATTTGACATTCTCCAGAAATGTTAACATAAGAACTGACAATGGAATACAAAGTGTTCCGATCCACCTAGAAGTGTCACCTAGGGAAAAATAAGCTTAAGGGGTTTGATATTCAGTTTGATTCTTAGCTATTCCTGATGGGCCTGACCTCCTGATTTTAACACTGCTTTTATATCCTCACACTTCAATACTTGCTATTGTCTACCAAACTTATTGGAACAATGTAATATTTATTTGTGTACCCTTGCTTATTAGTTAATAAAAAATTCAGATACAGAGTTAAAAGGGAAAAAAAGGCAGCCAGTACCCCACTCCACCTAACAAGTTAAAAAAAGATGTCCTACTTTTGCTCTTTTATTTTGTAATCCTTTGGGTACC